GAAACTATAACAAATGCTTTATTCATAACTCTTTTTGTTTTTTTTTTAAACCAAATATCGACTTTTTTGCTTCGCTTTATAAATAAGCAAACAAAACAAATACTTTTTGTAAAAATAATTAATATAAATTTTTATATATCTACTAATTTTTAAATGTATTAAACATATTGTATATGTTACAATACGTATTTTGTTTACAAAATACAATAATATTTATCAAATAAGGTATGCACGGGTATTTTACATTACTTAAGTTTACATATACTATTGAAAATTAGTAACGAATTCTTATTTTGCAACTTAAAAGAAGAGCAAATTGACGTCATCGTGGTTAGATCACACAAATTTAATAGGTGTGCCAAAATATTATAAAAAATAAATTTATCTTCGCTACGCTTAGGATGGGCGGAGTATCTGTTCTTCGTAGTACATATTTTGATCAACTATGGATGGTCACTAATTTACGTTTACAACACTGAATATTTTGACAGTTGTATTCCAATCGTAGAATTCCAATTTCAACTAAAACCGAAGTCGGTACTTTCCACTATTTCACACGAATCTAAACAGCAGAACAAACACATCACGTTGACGAGTTTAGCTAAACGAAGCATATTTCACCAAAAATGTCTATAAATAAAGATAAGAATTGGAGTGAACTTTCGTGAGTTAATAATAAAATATAATAAAAATATTTATTCGTTACTATATAATCTGATTCTTTTATTGAACTTCAGGAATGTCGAGAGATATATGTTTTTGGAAAATACACCGACGGATTGCACTTTTATCGTTGGAATCGCCAAAGACGAAATAAAACGCATACAATGTCACAAGAAAGTCTTGGCAGAATGCTCAGAGGTTTTTAATTCGATGTTCAATGGAAATTATTTAGAATCGGAAGAAAATTGTGAAATTCGCTTGAATGATGTTCAACCTTACGTGTTTGAATATTTTTTGAATTTTGTCTATTGGGACGATTTACCATATGAAAGTTCTGTAATAGAGCTTATACAGTTGGATTATTTAGGTGACAAATACATAACTCCTTATTTAAGTTATAGATCTAAGTATTTGATAAAGGAAAAGTGTTATATTACATTATTGGAATTAGTGAAATGTCTAAAATTTCCAATTTCTCACAAGTATGTCAATATCATTAATTTTATTCCAGTTCGATGGATGAAAGATATATTGCCATCTTCTATTTACAATTTAAACCTGTCATCCTTTGTAGTGGTTACTAAAAGGCTTAGTGAAGTACTAGATAAACTAAAACTTTTTGAAATGTTTGAAAAATACGTGCTTATCAATTTTATGCAAAAAAAAAAAATATTAAAAATGTGAACGATACAGAAATACTAAGTGGGGCCCATAAAATTTTTATTAAAATTTGATCTTAACGATTTTAATATTGGAGATTGACGACAAGAGAGTTTGTGAGGACTAATGAAGTCGTCCATTATAGATGTGCACTTGAAATTAAATACATTAATTAAAATATCTAAAAGATGCATTCCAATGGAAGAAGTTATTTGTTGCAAGTGCAGAATAATTCATAAAATAAAATTTGTTTAAAATTAATCATGAACTTATTTTTAATTATTTACATAGATTTGTTACAAAGAAATTAAATTAAATATTGATAATGTCAAATTACCAATAATTTGTTATAAAGTATTTCTCACCAGGTTGATTATAAATGAAAAAAATATGTACTTCAAATATATTTGTATACACCAACAATAACAAAAAAATAAAAGAAATTAATATCGCAAATCCCGAGTATTTTTATTCCACTTTATGCGAATAGGGAGTTAAGATAATTTTGATTTTTGGAAGTAAAAAACCAAAATTTTTTTCATCTAATTACTCTTTTAATGCTTTACAATATGTCTGATGCTACATTTTTTACTGTATGTCTATATAGTTAAGATATAATATATTACATAAGTGATTTTTTATTCAGAAAATTACCTTAAATAAAATAAAAGTAATATGTAGCTACCCACAATTCAATGACTAAGAATTTTTTAATGCTTCTAGAGATTGTCGCCAAGTGTAAGGAGCTTATTAGTTTTTGATATAGTACTGAAACCTTTCATTTGCTGCTCCAACTCAGAATTGGCAGGATGGATATATTAAATTAAAGACGAAAAATGTGCAATTT